TATCTTTTATCACACATCTATTAATTTTTATCAAAGTATTATTAAGTAATAATTTATTACTAATAGCAGCATGCATTTAAGTTCATTTACACACACATATATACACAGGTACAAAAATTGTAACAAATAAATTTGTATTTTATTAATTAACATTTATTCCTGAGCGTATTTAACAAAAAAATGTATAAGAAAAATATTAAATAACTCTTAGGTGAACATACAATCTTTTTTTAAGGAACATTTTTTTAAGTAATACTAAAAGGTAAAAAAAATTGCTTATTCAAAATTAAAGTAATATTTCGAAGTGAAGTAAGTGAGTATCGATGAAAAACAATGAACACTTCAAAAAACGACCAATTCATCAGACGCACTTACGATTTGCCAATCCTCTGAAAAGAAATAAAAAACATGTGTTAACGCTCTTATTATTTATAAATAAAAGAATCACTTACACAAGTTTGCTTAGGTCTTCGAGCATGTAACATATTTTTTCTTCCATATTCTGTAATATGTCCTTATCTTCCACCTTACATTGGCTGATAAAACAAAAAACAAATTATACAAAAAATAGTCTCATGAAATAAATACGAGTATCGAAGATTTTTACTTACAGTAGAAAATAGGTAACGCATGAAGTCACGCGCGTGACCTGTTCACATAAATATTTCAAAAGAATTTCTGGGTCCGTACATTTTCCGGGGTATTTGTCCATTTTGGGAAATAAAATACCACTTGTAGATGATGCTTTACGTGAACTTCTAGAATTTGACGATCCACTCGAATCATTCTCACTCGCAGAGAGATTTAAAACCGAGTCATTATTTCTTGATGACGTTCCGGGTTGAATTGGTCCGAATTCGTCACGACGCTCAACAACCATTGCACTGAAAAAAGCAATCCAATACATTCCAATAATTAAAAAATTGAAAAATAATTTTCTTCAAATTAATCAAATTACTTAATTTTTCCCATTGCGTCGAAGTTTCGTACGGCCAGTGTTTTAATTCGTTCATCTTGATCGTTCGTTCGATTTGCGCGTTCATTCCAGTCACTTTAAGTGAAGAAGAACACAAAAAATTAATGAAATATCGAATAATTTATATTTTAAAACATCAACTTACCGTAATATATCAGTTATTGAAAAGCAAACACGTCCAACATTAGACATTAAATCTCGCATTGTCGCACCGATGTTCTCCTTATAATCATTTACATTTTGTGAGGCTATTGTATTAGATTCTGAAAAATCTTTCGTTAAACATTTTCTTTGTCGTAATTTTCTTGCAAGCTTGTCCCGCAATTTTTCTTTATATGATTTATCAGAATCAATACCTGACGAACTTTGATGATCACTCATGATGAATATGATGATTCGAGATTATTAATCTTTTTTATTTGCTTTTCGTTGTGTTGATAAGTGGCAATGACGATATCTTTTTATGTTGACTGTCTTACTAATGAATAAATTCAATATGGATGTTGTATTTTCGAAATTACGATAAATTCTATGAAAGCGACCTCTTCAGAAGATTCTTCGAAAATACGTAACACTTTTTAAGGAGAAGAAAACGTAATGCCGACTGAAGCTTGTAAATGTTGACAATTGTATATCAACAAGCAGAAGCTGAACAATAAACAAATCCAAGTTGCACAGAATTTACAGAAAATCCATTAAAAAAGAACATTTATTTGGAATACGAACACATCGAATCAAATTTAGAAAATGTTTTATCACGTGAGTACAAAATATTATGAATTTTTGCTGTAAATTTTCAAAATAAATCGAAAGCAACAAAACCCGCTTGAAATGAAACGCATAACCTAACAAATTTTACCACACAGATTTCATTGGAACACGATATTTTGCTGCATCCAAAATACTTCGGGCCACAGCTTATGGAAACAGTGAAACAGAAATTGTATACAGAAGTGGAAGGAACATGCACGGGAAAATATGGATTCGTAATTGCTAGATAGATAGGAATCGGGAGCATTGCAGAAGAAAATGAATTCCGAAACTACCTATCATCAGCGATGATGTGCCGAGTGTACACGAAGCGTGAATTCTTCTAATACGGGTAGTAAAAGTCGTATTGGCTTTAAACGAGCTCTCCTATCTTTTATCATACAATGTCGAATGCAGCTATTCACTAGGGGGATTCCGCGCGTATTTATGTACCAAAATTTAACTTTATTCTTAAAATCTCATAAAAATTTTAATATCCGACCATATCTGACAATATCTGTAAGTATTCAATCATATCCTAGTTTCTGGAAGTGGGCGTTGGTGGATCCTCAGGATCATGAGAATGCTCCCAGTTCTGGAAGTGGACCCTCAGGATGGGCCAGGGCATTGTCAAACCATAGTCTGGTCCATCCTGAGGATCCACCAAAACCCACTTCCAGAACTGGGAGCGGTCTAATGATCCTGAGGATCCACCAAAACCCACTTCCAGAACAATTATTAGATCACAATATCTCACAATATCTCACATATTTGTTAAAAATTGACATTTTGTACTTATATCTACTCAAATGCGCTAAAAAGTTAAAATCTCTTCTTTATCTGCAATATTCAAAAGCGCGGTTTCCCCCTAGGCTATTTATCAAAGTATTATTAAGTAATAATTTATTACTAATAGCAGCACGCATTTTTTCGTTTATATATTTCAGTCATCAATTGTATATTTAAGTTCATTTACACACACATATATATGCGCAGATACAAAAATTGTGACAATTGTACTTAAAACATCTGTTTATTATATTTTTGACTAGTACAAATAAAATATTTGACCTTTATTGTGAACATTTCTGCATATTTATTATGTTATAAAAAAATTTCTTTCTTTTTTTCTGTATTTTATTAATTAACATTTATTCCTGAGCGTATTTAACAAAAAAATCTTTAAGAAAAACATGTGTGCAACTAATTAAGATAGTATTAAATCCTCTTAAGGCTCTATTTCCTAGGACAAGATTTGCGCACGCTTTCATGAGCGGGAATGTTTCATCTACGCTTTTCAGATAAACGTAGACGATCATGAAAAATCGTAGACTAGCTGAATATACAATCTTTTTTAAGGAACATTTTTTTAAGTAATACTTGAAGGTAAAAAATTGCAAATTCAAAATCAAACTAATATTCCGAAGTGAAGTAGGTGAGTATCGATAAAAAAACAATGAACACTTCAAAAAAACGAGCGATTTATCCCAAACACTCAATTTGCACTGTTCACCCGGGGCATTCGCACCGTGCGTCAGTTACGTACCGAAATTATGCTCAAAGTGTCACACAGCTAGCGCCACGACGGAATTCATTGTACTCAATACTAAGTTGCTGCCCACTAGTGAAAAGACTTTTGCTCAGTTACAAACAACAGACTAGAACTCCATAGTTGTACGTAGTGGCGCTAGCTGTGCTACAGTTTTGCATTTTATACAGTCTCTTATGGAACATAATTGCAGTGTGGTCAGTTACGAAAACACAAAACAGAATACGGAGTTAGACACGAAGAAAGTAGTGTATGTGCGTATACGCTTCATTCCTTGCGTCTTATTTGTTATTCCCCTTTTTCAGCTGTTTGCATGGCAAAGGCTGCTACGCTACATAACAAAAAGATGAGAAAGGGGAATAAAAAATAAGACGCAAGGCACGAAGCGTATATGCAAATACACTACTTTCTTCGTGTCTCGCTCCGTATTCCGTTTCGTGTTTTCGTTTTGAGTGCTTGGGATGGATGTGGTTACAGATCATTTTCCATTGCGCTGAAAATAAATAAAACACAGGTATTAAAATTCTGATAAGTTAACCGTAGACCTACGTTAAAAAATTTCGACTAATCTTAAGTTGGTGGGTCGTTTTCGACCCTCATATATTTTGTATGGAAATACATGAAAAAAAAAAAACAGACAATATCTTGAACTAACTGGTCAGTTGAGCTGACAGTACGTTAGCCAGTTAAATGGACTAAAACAATAGAAGTTATTGTTATAATGAACAATCACTTCTATTAAAACAAGAAAAGTGATTCATCATTAAAACAATAACGTCTATTGTTTTAGCCCATTTAGCTGGCTAACGTACTGTCAGCTCAACTGACCAGTTAATTCAATATATTGTCTGAAAAAAAATGAAATTTACCGATCGATTTTTTTCTTTTTTTTAATCGAGGCCACTTCAGATAAATATTTCAAAATAACTTCTGGATCCTACGTTCAGAACAACGCTGGACAATTGTGCGTGTTCCACTCGAATCATTCACACATGGTCCTGAGAGATTTGAAACAGAGTCATTGCTACTGCCTGATAAGTTACGATTTTCATTCGTCCCTGAAAAAAGAATTCACTGTCAATCTGAATAAACTAAAAAATGATTTTTTCAAATTAATCAAATTACATCATAAATTTCAAGTATTCCATAATTTGTCGGAGTATTGTTTGAATTCGTTCAGCTTGACTGCCAGTTGCATTTACGCTTTTACTCTAGTTACTATAAGTGAAAATGACCCCAAAAAATCAGACATTATATTGACATATTTTCAGCCAGATGAATCAGTTCAGCCAGATATCGTCAGAAGCTGAAATTGAGTGAAAACAATAGAAGTGATTGTTCTGATTATAATTACATATACATTGCTACAATCACTTATTGTTTTCACTCCATTTCAGCTCCTGACGATATCTGGCTGAGCTGATTCATCTGGCTGAAAATATCCCATGGGGCGAATCACGCTATCAACATCCAAACCAGTTGCATTAGTTTTCTTCTCGATCAATCTAGCTTTGATGGATGGACTACTTGATTTTTAAAAAGCTTCCTTTATAACAGCCACAGCATAATCACGCGCAGTAGCCATTTCAAAACGCTCATTCTGATTTATAGTCACAAAATCAAGGAATTTTTTCAAATAGAGTTTATTTGTGCCATCAACGCGAATATGGTTAAACGAATTGGTGTAACGTAGGATCTCTGCATCATTGGCAGCAACAATTACATTACGTTTCAACAATGGATCCTCGAATATTTTGAAATTTGGATCTAATTTGATGAGATACAAAATGGCAGTATTCAAGATACCGGGAACTTTTATTTCGCGATAGCCGCCTGCTCCCATTCGCGAAAATGTGGATTTTTTCGTTGTGCGAATATAGGCTGCATCGATTTCACCTTATATTTCTTCGTCGTCCTCTGATGAAAAATCTACATTGAGTAGTGGACGGGCAATTTTTTATGGACGCTCAACGCATAACAATTGGTCAGGCTCACTGAATAAATCAGGTGAATATAGCGGCAGAATAGAAGTGTTCTGATTATAATTACACATACACTGCTACAATCACTTATTTCACCTCCTGACGATATCTGGCTGAGCTGATTCATCTGGCTGAAAATATCTCATGGGGAGAATCACGCTAGTGAATACTAGAAAAACTAGTAAATCTAGTGCGAAGAATGACGTCATAATCGAAGCCAACGTTAATAGAAAAAACTACTGTGAGCCAACTTCACGCACTAGAATTTCTAGTTTTTCTAGTGAAATCTGATCGAAAACTAGCTGCACTAGAATTTCGTGATTGACCCCATGGTCGTAATAACCAATTAATTATTTCAAATTCTTGCTATCAAAATTCACTTCAAACTTTGTTTTTCAAAATGTGAATAGATTAAGAAGTGTGTTCTTCTTACAATTTGAATATCACTATTTTTGATTGAATAATAACTTCGATTTACACCTTACCAGTAAATCTTTCAATATGTTAGACTCCGATGGTTAGATTTGTGTTTTTTTTCTGCAGACATCATAAAAAGCACATCTCTGATGTAACATCGGTGTAAAATTCTTAGAAATGCACACAATGTACGTATAGAGCAAATGTGTGCATCAAAAGCTTACATTTTAGTAATTTATTGAAGACAAAGAGAGTAAATGCATTTACTTTTTTTAAATGTCTTTCCAGTCTGCTTTGAATAGACTTTTATATATCCATTACTCACTCAACGTCAATTACGTTAATAGATGCATGGAAATGGTAACATTTCTGTTCTTTTCAATGAAAATAAGTTTTTCCTAGATAAAACTTATTTCTATGACAAGAAGGTTTACAACGTTTCTCAATGATAGCGTATGTTCCGTTATTAATTAAAATTCACAATCAAAGCAGATATATTCAAATTTTCCATAATGCTAATAGAAATATGTAGAAAATGACATATATTCATCAACGTTCATATGGAAACCTTCCGAAATAGAGTATGGAATTTGTAAATTAAAATGTTCTTATCACATCTATCAATTTCATTTTAAAGTAAAAGCAGTAGATTCGCATGCAATATATTGCTATGATACTATGATAAAGAATCTCCCTAGATAAATGCTGTATTCTCTGAAAAATTATAATTAATAAAGTTTGCAGAGCTTTAACGAATTTCTTTTCATTTGAACGCGGTTA